GTACTACCCCCCAACTTTATGGATGATTTTATGGATTTAATTGTACGTATTATACTTGAATAAATACAGTAAGCTCTATGATGTGGGGTCCCTGAAGGTGGTCAGGTCCAGGTTCAGCACCAGTTTGTGCTCAAATAATGAAGTCAGCTGACCTGAATATACTGTGAATATACTGAATGAGCAGGTTATTCCATCAATGGATTGTTTCTTCCCTGATGGTTTGGGCATATTCCAAGATGACAATGCCAGGATTCATGGGGCTCTTATTGTGAAAGAGTGGTTCAGGGAGCATGAGACATCCTTTTCACACATGGATTGGCTCCACAGAGTCCATCGAGAATCTTTGGGATGTGCTGGAGAAGGTCAGACTCTGTCATCATCAGTGCAAATTTGCAATACTGGATGGAAATAAACCTTGTGATGTTGCAGAAGCTTATTGAAACAATGCCACAGAGAATGTGTGCCGTAATCAAAGCTACAGGAAGTCCAATGAAATATTAGTGTGACCTTTTTTTTGACCAGTAGGTTAGTTCTCGCATCCTGTCACAAAATTTGCTTAGAATTTTTTATTCAAATACACATTAACCTTCGATTTGAGAAAAATACTGTGCAGATTTTGTTTCTTATTTGATGATTTACAGGATTCCTGCAGATCCTTTAAAACGTTTTAAATGATTGAATTTATCAATCCAAGAATAAGACCTTAATTAGCCTTGAAATGTCTTAGCTCAATCTTTCAGAGGTCTTAAAAATGTAAACATTCTAAACAGGATGATTGTAATTCACCTCAAATATCAAAAGAATTGATAACATTTATTTATTTGTTTTTAAATAATTTAAACAATGTCTCTCGCAGCTGGTTGTTACATGTTAAAATAAGTATTTGGGTGAAATTGTTGCTAAATTTTCATTTGTGTTTATTGTGAAGTTGGTCGTTAAATGTCATTTAAAAAATTCTTAAATTGAACTTGTCTTAAGCTGTCGGAACCCTGATTTATTTATTTGTTTTCCCTCTTTCAGGGCTTTGCAGTGAACCTTTTAAACAAAATTGCAACTTCTACTGCTTTGTTTTTTAATGACTTGTTCAGACAAAGTAGTAAAATGACATTAGAAGAACACGTAGGAAGAACATTCCTGCTTTGAAAAAGAACATTCTGATGATATGTCCAATATTTTCCTCCCTGTCTTCAGTGTCCTCAATGAGGACTGGACCTGCAAAGACTTGTATGGCTTCCAAAAGGGCCTGAGTCCTCAGGAGCAGAGCTTCAGGTAAGAGGAGTGTAAACTGAGTTGTTTTAAGTCTTAATCTTTTATGATGTATTATCATTATATTTTTTTCAGGAGGTCCATATTTGGGGTCAACCTCATTGATGTGCCTGTGAAGTCCTGCATGAGGCTTCTGTTTGAAGAAGTGAGTTTAAAAAACATATTTACATAAACTTTATTATCTAGGAATGTTTAGAAGTCTTGCTGGCCTTCTGTTCCTGTCTGTCTGTTAAGAATAAAGATTTTGTTAAATAAAGGTTGAAGCAAATTGAATTAAAGAAAACCTTTTCAGTAAATTTAGTAAATTTCAGTAAATACGAAATTTGTCCAATATTTTAATTGTCAAATTGACTGTAGCGGCTAAAATCCTATATTTTAGGCTACTGGTGGTTGTTCTTGAAAGGCATTGGTTTTACGTGCGCTCAATTAAGATTCAGCATGCCGATCTTCCATTTGACATAAAATAAAGTCATTTATTTTCAGTACAGTGTCCATTGT